TTCACATGGCATAAGAGAAGCCGGAATTGTCTTATCAAAAAAAAAAAAAAAAAAAAAACAACAACTAAATATGATCATGTAGTCATGTAATTCAAGCAGTCTTCATACTTCAGCAGAATTATCAAAATTATTCATCGGTGAATCTGCATTGAAACCACGTACAGTGGAGAGATTCTGAAGCTAGTGCCACTGAGCAGTCCACTAGAGCAGCCACCAGCTCTGAGCAGTCTGGTCAGCCTTCAGGGTGGCAGGCACCTGGGCGAATCGGTGGGTCTGGTTGCTTAGGACCATCTCGGTGGACTGGATGAACTTAAGATTCTCTTCAGAGCAGTTCCAGAAGTCTTTCGCTGCTTCACATGAAGGGGCAGCCACACTGAAACCTTATTTTCCTCATTCTTGACTCTTCTGCGTAAGATGTATGATTATCACCAAGTTATATAAACATCACAGCCTGGTGTCTCCTGTGTTTCTTTGGCTTCGTAAATACTACTTCCTGTGGCCTGACCTTTCTGATTGCCACCGTTTGTAAAATGGATGAGGGGAAAAATTTTCCATTTTTACCATAAAACTGAACAAAGAAGGACCTCCTAGATCCCCAAAGCCAGGGAGAGGCATGACCCAGACAAAAATCATAAGTTTCTATTTTACATCATGAGTAGATATGGCCAGAAATATCACAAAACCATCAGCATCAAGAAACTTATTGAAGGACAACAAAAAATAATAATAAATAACTGAAGTAGAAGTAAAAGATAAGAAATGGTGCTGTTGGCTAGCATTTAGTCAAAAGCCAATGGTTTACTGTTACCCCAGGGTCAAGCCCAACTCCTCGGCCAGTGTTCCAGGTTCCTAGGCTCCTGTTCTAGCTCTTCTGGGAAGTCTGCCGTTAGCTGCTTTCTGAATACATCCCACTTTCATACCACATGTTCACGTTGTCTCCCTACGGGAAGCCTTGGTTCTCTACATATAGAAATCCTACCTATTTCACAAGATTAAACTCATTCCTTTCCACACTGAAACTCTTCTTGGCAACCTTGAACAGAATGACCATAGCTAATTCTTACTGAACTCATTACTTGTTTGGTGCACACTAGCCGAAATCCTTTAGATGTTTTATTTTCTTAATCCTTTTGCTAATCCCATGACAGAGTATGGTAGATAGTAAGAATGATTCCAACTCTTCATCCTTCCTGGTATAAATATCCGATTATAAGGTGGCTTTGCTGTTCTCCCCATCAAGAGTGAAGTCTATTTCCCCACTCCTTGAATGTGAGCTGGCCTTAGGACTTGTTTGATCAATAGAATGTGCCAGAAGTGACTGTGCGTCAATTCCAAGTCTGAGCCTCAAAAGGCCTTGTACGCTTCAACTTGCCCTCTTTGAGTCCCGCCAGCTGCCATGTGAAAAGTCCACGTTAGCCTGGTGGCAGATGAGATCCCATGTGGTCCCAGCTGACCTGATAACTGAACTCAGATGTATGAATGAGCCAGCCAAGATAGGGGAACCAATATAGCCCAAATTTACTGACACGCAGAACTCTTAAGGAAATAAATGGCTGCTATTTGAAGCCATTCATTTTTGGAGTGACTTGTTCCATAGTAAAGTTAGCTAATAAAGAAAGGTATCATTATTTTAATCTTACCAATGAGCAAAAGGAAGTGCAGAGAAATCAAGTAAAATTTTCAGGGCCATACAGCTTTTTAAAGGTAGAGCCAAGATCCAAATCAGTACAACCTGACTCCAGAGATTAACCATTCTGCTACACTAGCCACAAAAGAAGTGCCTGCCTTCTATGAACGTCATTCGTTTATTCACCAAGCATATGCTAAGCATTTATTATATACCAGACAATGTGCTGAACATTGAAGATACAATGAGGACTAAAACTGCATCCTTGCCCTCAAGGGGCTAACATTCTAATGGAGGAGACAGGCAGGTAAATTAGACACAGCATGTGAATAACTACAAGGTGATAATTGCTCTAATAAGGGTATGTGTAATGAACTACTGGAGCAGAAAGAACAGGCTCCTACCTTCCTTATAGAACTTATTACCTGTAATACTCTTTTGACATGTATTATTTACTGCTTTGCATTGTTAGTTGCTTGTTTAGGTAAATATATTTTAGGATGTCAACTAGATTATAAGCTTCTAGAGGAGAAAAAGCCTTGTATCTGACAAAATCTCCCATGGTCCATAGCTCTGTACCTTGTCCATAATAGTTATTCAATAAATATATTGATGGACTATGAAAGATGAATTTTCAAATTTATCAGGGGAACAGCAGAAAGAACAAGGATGTATTTTATAATCAGGGACTGTGCTGGGCATTTAACTAAAGTGACGTTACTCAATTTCTTGATTTTACTCATCTACTGCCTAAAAATTAATAAAGTCTTCATAACATTGTGAAGGAAACATTTATTGTTCATAGCACATAGATAAGAGTCTGATAGAACCTTATGAACGTTTCCTTCAAATCCTTCACTTACGGCAACCATC